GACTATCCATCCCAGGGGATTTAATTCCCTCGAGAATTTACGAATTGCCAGACTGGGATCTAATGAGCTCACCCTGAAGACAGACACCACGAGGTACGACGATGAATTTGGGCCCAAATCACCGTTCCATAACTGCATGGGGACCATTGAAGAGATTCATCTGGCGTACAATAATGTCTCCGATATATTTGGTGATTGGATATTCGCCAAGAGATTGAGAACCCTCGACCTCAGCCACAATCAGATCACATTCTTGCAGGTGAATATTTATTGTCAATTCATAACAATCGATATTAAATTCTGTCAATAATGCATAGGCTGTGGATTAGATTCACTGGCATTCGTGCATTTGGTTGAATTTCCAATGATTAATAACTATTTTCATGATAATTTTAATCAAATGCTCATGTAACGTTTCAGGAAGACGACTTTCAATTCGTCTCCGACGATATCGAGGTGGACCTGTCCTCTAATCGGATTGAGCGAGTCATCCTGAAAACAGTTGAGATGTTCTCGAAGAAGGCGACTTACGTCAAGAACATTATGATATCAATCGAGAAAAATCCAATTGTTTGTGACTGTAATATCCACGATCTCCTGCGGTATCGGGAGGGTAGAATGGATCCGACAGTGGATAGTCAGTTCACCCTGAAGATGAACGAGCTGATGTGTCACAAGCCGAAGAGTCTGGAGAACGTTCTGCTGAAGGATTTGGAGTCAAAGTCCCTGAAGTGTCTGGTGGAGGAGCCAGTGATGTACGACGCCCAGTGTCCGGACCGCTGCAGCTGCTGGATGAGACCAGAGGATCAGGCCTACCTGGTGGACTGTTCCTGGAGGAACCTGAGATCAGCACCAGCGAGCCTGAAGAGTCCCCCCAGATTCCACGTCGAGTTAAATCTCACTGGGAATTATCTGACGTCATTTCCCTCAATGCATCAGCCAGGGTACAGTGCAGTGACTGTTCTGTCACTATCTCACAATCAGATCGCTGAACTTCCAGTTTCTGCACTCTCTGATAATCTCAGCGTGTTGGAGCTGGATGGGAATGCCTTGAGAAGGCTGGAGACCCCAGTGCTAGAGTTTCTGGCGAATTCATCGAGCCTCAGGTACCTGTCACTTCAGGAGAATCCTTGGGTCAGCGACTGCGATGCCAGAGACTTCCTCAGCTTTGTTCAGACGAAAGTTGTGTCTATTCCAGAACTCCAGAGAATTACTTTTCACCTCTCTGATGTACCTGTTTTCGAGATGACACCAGAGGAATTATGTCCACCTGTTGTCGGTTGGGTCATCGGTCTCTGCATTGGTATTGCTGTACTTGGGGTGATTGTTGGTGCACTTGCTGCTGTTTATTATCGTTATCAGCGGGAGATCAAGGTGTGGCTGTATGCCAGGCAGTGGTGTCTCTGGCTGGTTAGCGAGGATGAGCTGGACAAGGACAAGTTGTATGACGCATTCGTCAGTTACTCGCACAAGGACGAGGAGTTTGTGGTGAATAATTTGATAAGGACTTTGGAGGGTGGGACTGAACCGTTCAAACTCTGTGTACATTATCGTGATTGGAAGGCTGGCGATTGGATACCAGAGCAGATAGCACGGTCTGTTGATGAGTCCAGGCGGACCATTGTTGTCTTGTCACCGAATTTTTTGGAGAGTGTCTGGGGGAAAATGGAATTCAGAACAGCTCATACACAGGCACTCAGTGAGGGGAGGGCTAGGGTTATTGTTGTACTTTATGGAGATGTTGGATCTATTGATCAGCTTGAGCCTGAGCTCAAGGCTTATTTAAGTATGAATACTTATGTCAAGTGGGGGGATCCTTGGTTCTGGGATAAGTTGAGGTATGCGTTGCCTCATCATGATGATCTTAGGAGGGAAAAGGCTAAGGCCAGTGTCTTTCAGGGACAACAACCTGTCTTTCAGATTGTCACGGAAAAGGGCGGAATTGGGGTTTAGAGCGTTTGAGGAGGGGCATTTTATCGACTGATAAGGCAGTGAATTTGATGAGAGATTTTTGGGATTTCACCCAATTTTAGTCACTACTGCCGAATTACTCAATCTACCTGGTATCCTGTGGTGTAACACTGGAGCATGTTAATTTAAGCCATGACATTGTGATATGTTTCTTTGTTTTTTTAAATCTTTTTTAGAATGTCTAGGGATTTGACTGTAATTTATATCTCTCATGTAGATAGCCATGATGTAAATAAAGTTTTTTCATTTTCATAATTTTAAAAATTGTGTTATTTTTTCGATGAAAAAAATTATATTTTCAAAAACTCTCCATTTCCTCTACCCAAAAATCCTAATATCAAAAAATAATCGATTGTTATTTCGTAATCTGCAAGACGTGAATTGAGAATTAGTAAAAAAAATTTTAAAATGTCCAAAAAAATTCACAGAAAAATTCAAAGATTCAAAGATTCAAGAGAATGAAGAATAAATAATAATACAAAAATTAATTTAAGTAGAAAAAAATATTGAATATTGAATTTGAATTTTTAACCCGCGGCTTTGCGCACTCGTCCGACCAATCCCGTGGCGTGTTACGCCGCGAGGACAGGCGGAGAGTCCCGAAGGCGCCCGATCTCGCGGCGACGCGTTCACCGGCGACCGGCATCTTCTCCAGAGTCATTCGAGTCTTCGAGACGTTCACCGGTTGAACGTCGTCTTCGTGGAGAAAATAAAGGATTTTACTCCAAGAGGAATTTTCCGACGATTCCTGGTGAGTTTTCCCCAAATATCGCCTTAAAAAAGACTGGAGTTTTTTTTTAAACGGAAAAACTAGTGAAAGAGTCGTCTTTCGTCTCTGGTGCATAAATCTTTCGACTTCATTCCTTTCGTCAGGATTTCTCGTTTTTTCCGTCAGTTTTTTTTGATAATAAAACATACTCTCTGCTCCAAATTGAAAATAGTGACATATGAGTTGAGGATTAGAAGAAAAATCGGCGACTTTTCATCGCTTTTTGAGGGGAAAAGATCGCGAAAAAAATTGGGGACACGTGGCGTCGTTTTCTTTTTTCATTACATTTTCC